AGCCACTTGCAGAAAAATACAACGTATAAATATACAACCAAATTCCTGTTAAGAAACATTTTTTGATTAGAAATATCCCAGTAGGAGATAAATGTTCAGCTGAGGTCATTATTAATTTGACTTGAAGGTTAGGAGGAGTAGATGCAACACGCATTTTTTGATCTGGCTACAATGTATCAGCCTTTTAAAAAAACTGGAGCTGAATTGGTGTTGGTGTGACAGAGTTTGAATAATGGCATGCATGCAGGGATTATTTCCTCCTGGAGACGCGTGTTTCCCGTCTGTGAATGTCAGGTGAAAGACAGGAAGCCAAGCGGTGACACACAATGCAGCGCTGGTATGAATACACTGAACCGTGAAGCGGTGATAAATCAGGAACTCTGACGAAGACGGAGAAAAGGCTTCATCTTTATCATGATAGATTATCAGCCTCGAGCAAGTTACAAGCCCGTGGAAATTATTTTTCATGCTATAAAAAATAAACAGCAGCAGAAGGAAAAAAAAGCAGCATCTAAGACAGTTGCCCTACTTTTAACCTGGACAAGTGAGTGTGTTCATCAGGGTTCAGAGCTTGAACCCAGTCAATGAAGTAGAGAACCCACTGACACGGTCACGCTGCAGGCCTCACGGTTTCAGCTGTAACAGATACCGCCATCATGTCGTTTGGATAACCAGGACAGTTTGCTGTGTGGACACAGACATGCAGGAACACTAGGGTATGCAGTTCTGTGTGAACGAGAACAATATCAATAAGTGCATTGTCTTGTTTGGTAAACAGAGCATTAAGTGTGTGGACATAGAGTGGTAGTGACACAGAACCATCATAGCTACATGACAGTGTTGCCCCATTATTTAAACTGCACAGATAACACAGGAAAATTAAATTTAAAGTTAAAGCAGGGTTGTCATATTAAGTTTAACCAATGGCCACACAGAGAAATGGGAATCTGATCAAGGTTCAGACATAGATTAAGCCTAATCGCAGACCATCAACACAGGTTTTCATTGAGTTTTTCGTTTAGACTGGGCCTAGGCCTAATCCATGTCTGGGAAACCTGCTGATGCAGTTTATTCGAGGTTTTTCCAGGCTCAAATGAGTCTTTAAGGGTATTGCATAAAGGCATGATTGATCCACATATACTCAAAACTAAGACCCGTCAATTTGCCAAACAAAAATGACATTTTTAATCTTGAGTTTAGTAAACCCCACTGAAAACACAGTAATGGTGATTTTCATTTGGTGGAAACCCAAAACTACTTTGGTCTATGCTTGAAATTTCAGAACTAGTTGACAGGAACAACGTATGATGTCCAAATTTTCATATACAGGACAGTGACTTTTCTGAACGAGGCATATCTTCCTATGAGAATTAGTACTTCTAAACTATGATTCTACTTGGACTGTTGAGGAAACGTTTTGTGTGTGTATCCCCCCCCTTTTTTAAATTTTTTACTTTTATCTGTTTTTTTTTTGTTGTTGATGATTGATTGAAGTGTAGATGCTAATTTATCAGGGCAAACATTTTGACACTTAGAAACCTTGTTGGTGAAAAATAGATGTGAAAGGAAATTGGGCCAATGTTGGAGATGCTTTACACTTTTCTCAACTCCAAGGCATGCCTTATCTGATAGAGAACAACCCATGCATTTAATTTCTTTTTTGCAGTATTCTGATTGATATTTCTTTCTTTGTAAGAGACTGGGGCTTATTGGAAGAATGTCACCGTCCTTCGGTCTGTGATTCAGTTTTTGCTTTCACACCTCGACCAGCTTTGACCTGAGAGAGAGAGTCACTGTTTCAGCCACGTATGCTGGATTTCTGTTCTCAGGATCATTTTTACATGCAAAAAATAGCCTCTTTTCCACCAGCACCTACTCTATGTGACTCGACTGAGTTTCGATTGTTTTCCATTATAATTGATTGCTACCTCAATGTGGGTGGTGGTATTATAGCAAGGTCCTGTGACATTTTTATGCAAAACAAACACAAAAATGGAGGGCACTTGTGTGTAGCCGTTTTCATCATTTCCAGGTTTCCACAAATGACTGGTTTTATTCCTGAAAGTTGCCCTCATGACTCTTTGACTAACGTCACCCCCTGGCCAATCAGTGGCGTGCAGTCTGTTGATGGCACATTTTCAGCTCGACTCCGCTCACTTGGAAATCCGTTTGAGTAGGTACTAAAAAAGTAACTGGTACCAGGTTGTACTACCACCCAATGGAAAACCCTAAAAACAGTCGAGTGAAGTAGGTGCTAGTGAAAAAAACGGGCTTTAGTGAGCGAACATCTAGCTGACAGGAAACGAGGTGATGGGAAAAACATGAAATCATGTGTGCAAACCAAAGTCACCACCTTAATGATTGAACCATTCGGGTAGGTTAGATGTCTGGGTAATTGAACCTCAATCTGAAGATCACGTGTGAAAATGTTAATGGCAGAAAAGTATATTTCCTCCATTTCAGTTAAACAATAATTGAGTGAAATGCTACAGTCTTCCCATTATACTGGAGGCTAATATATGGCTGATGATGCTACAAAAATAATCCTTTTATGTTAGGCTGTTATGACTTAAAAAAATTTATGAAGACAAAGAAAGTGGCTGGCCTATTTTTGGGTCCATCCCCACTTCAATTAGTCACAGCGTCTTGAATATGAACGCTGTCTTTCGCTCCTTCTTCCTTGGAGGGTTTTGTAAAGTTGACAATCATTCACAGGCTGTCATTAACCTAAATAATCACGCGGCCAGTGGAGAGACAGCCCAGATGTAAAGGCTGTTGGCAGTCAGTTGAATGTCAGGAGTGCTGTTTAGTTTGTATCCTAAAGCTCTTTCATGTCTTTAAGTCTCATAGAAACGAGCCAGAGGGACGACAGGACATTTAAAACCTCCTTATAATTGTTCTGTGGTCTGCAGCATAGTTAACCTCACAATAGCTACAATTTTTAACATGCCTCTTCCTGCTTGTTTCCTAGGAGACAGCGGGAAGGTGACAACGGTCGTGGCCACACCGGGTCAGGGACCGGACCGCCCACAGGAAGTCTCCTACACTGACATCAAGGTGAGAAAGAAAGCAAAACTGAAGCTCTATGAAATTACAACTTTCTTTTTCCAAGTCTTCTCCTCATTTTAGTTTTGTCTGTTGAGGATGGTTTTACTTAGTTGCTGCATATTAAACGCACAGTTGTGAACAGCACATGTAAAGCCCCCAGTCTATGTAGCAAGTAGAGACCAAACACACTTGTGCAGAACCAAATGTGTATACATCTTCTTTGGTTTCTTTTTGCTTTTTAAAAATCAGAACAACACAATTTCAGTTTTCTTGAAACTAAAAGAAAATGTATCAAAATCAAACCACTTCTGACTGCTTCTTAATAGCATCCAGGTTTCTCCCCCCCTTTTCTCCAAGAGCAAAATGAATTTATAGTTTATGTAGTTTGTAACAATGTGAAACTGAAGTTGACTCAAACAGTTGGCGAGTACAGTGCGCTTGTCCTCCATTTGTCATTGTTGGTGACGCCACCAAAACATCCAGTCTGTGGGAGAGTTTCAGCTGATGGGTCATCATGATACAGCATCAAGCAGATTTTTCACTGAAGCTGAAATATTTTCAACCCACACAGATTTCCACTTTTCTTATTGTCTAACAGAAATTTTTGGCAAACCAAATCGTGCATAAACTTTGTATGTGATCTCAGCAAAAACTGCCCTCGTTTGGTATGACAAGGGCGTTAAAGACGTTAAATGGGATCTGTCATTCTTATTTCCAACTTTATATTTTTATTGGATTCTCGTGATTAGTTTTTGATGAGTTAGTTTTCATGAGTTTTTAAACACCACAGTTTTTAGTACTTGAGAGCCAGTGTCCTGAAACTTTTAAATGTGTCCCTGCTGCAATACAACAGAATAAAATGAGTAGGTCATTAGCAAGACTATAGAACTTGACTGCATGCTGAGGTGGCAACCCCTAACCTAACTCAAGTAAATTAAAATACATGTGTTTGGAAAAATGTACTCCTAAAAGTACTTTAATTGCACCATGTTCATTCACTCATGAGCTACTGTAACATCACCACCTCAGCATGAAGTTTCAGGACACCGGCCCTCAAGGACTGGAGTTTGACACCCATCCTATAGAGCTAGCAGTGGAATAATCTGAATCCTGAGGTTTTGGCTCACAGGGATAACTCAAACGTTATTTGAAACTTTAATCACTGCATGTAGAATTAATAAGGGTATTGATCAATGCTGATATTTCCATAATTATTCTGCCAAGCCATAAAAATGCATGATTTTAAAGGCGCACATTCTTTTGCTTGTGTCTTTGGAAAAAATGACATAACTGTGTCAACTGTAGCTTGAAACTACAGAAAGAAGAGTGTTGCACTGAGCCAGGCTGTTATCACTTTTAAGATTACTTAATGGCTCTGTAGGTGTGTGTAAATTCAGATTTATCACACTTTTATCACAAAGCCAATAAAATCGTAATTTAGGCTTATCAGAAATACTTAACTTGTCTGATGCCTGCAGCAGTGGAACGTTATCATTATATTTGTATAATTTGGCAAGAGTCTTAAGCAGAAACAAAATCTGACTACAAACATCTCACTGTGCTTAATCACCATCTTTAATACCTGTAATTTTAATACCAAAGGATGTAAAATTGCCAAATAATTTTGATTTATTCATAAACTGTTTCTGTGCTCATGTCTGACTATCCATCTATCTTTTGTGAAACAGTCACAAGATTTAATCTATTAATACATTTTCTTGATCATTAATTTCCCCTCTTATTTATTTTTATAAACAAATTTTCTACATATGTCCACATAGTTATCATTTCACAGAAGTCCCACATGAGACCCTTAACACTTCACATGGGTAACTTCTGTTAGATTACTAATGGAATTTGGTTGGACACCATAAATCGCTAGGTTTAGGCATGAGAAACTACTTCGTTAGTTTTATAAGAATAGGCTGAGTTAGGATTAACAAAAAAAGGAAGATTGTTTGGATTTAAATACATAAGTTGTCATTTTATAATTTAAATTTAGTGGTTGTTAGAGTGAAAGATCTCCACTGAAGAGTCATCATATGCGCTGTAGGCTTGAAAAACACTTTCAGAAAAAATCAGACTATCAGTCAAAGATGGACAGAGCCAATTTATTACTGTTAAAAGAATGGAAACATCAGCAGCTGCAGCTTTCAGGAAATTAAATAAACGTTTGTGGTTGATCACCTGATGGGCTGTCCTTCAGTCTGACTCTCCTGTTCTGTTAAAACCTTGCAGGTCATTGGCAATGGGTCGTTTGGTGTGGTGTACCAAGCTCGCCTCATCGACACACAGGAGATGGTGGCCATCAAAAAGGTTCTGCAGGATAAGAGGTTCAAGGTAGGCGTGTAATTTAGTTTCTGTAATAATCTTATCAACGGCACCCCCCTCACCCTCCTTGTTAATAGTTTTCGTGATCACTTTGTTTACTTGGTTTCCCTCATTGACTCGTGTCTGTTTGTCTGTACAGAATCGGGAACTACAGATCATGAGGAAGTTGGACCACTGCAACATTGTCCGATTACGTTATTTCTTCTACTCTAGTGGCGAGAAGGTAAAAAAAACAAAGGGGTCATTGTACAGACTGCTCCTAAAGAGAGCTGAAAGAAGAGATGGTAAAACAGTTAAGCTATGGTTTATAAAAAAAAAAAAAAAATGACATAAAATAATTAAACCTCTCTAAACTCCCAGTAGTTTCAGTATGTCGAAACTATAAATAAAAGGAAATGGTGCATGTCCATAATACATATACAGATGCTCAGATATAGCATTAAAAAATAACCCAACCCTAAAAAGGGGAAGCAATTAGTTTCTTTTACTGATAAATATAGAATCTGATTTAATGTTGCAGAAGTAACTTACTGGAAATGTTTTGTATCAGCGTGCGAGGTTATGCCAGGCTTGTCTGTGTGTTTGCTTAGCTGTCTTAAACCATAAATGCTTTAACTACAGTTACCTTTGTGTCAATCCCTCCATCCTTTGCAGAAGGATGAAGTGTACCTCAACCTCGTGTTGGACTTTGTCCCCGAGACGGTCTACAGGGTTGCCAGGCATTTTAACAAGGCCAAGAGCATTATTCCTATCATATATGTGAAGGTAATTCTGCCCCTAATTTCCTTCCAAAACATTTCCATGTTGTCCAAGTCACAGTATTTTTCTGTTGAAGTTTTTATTCTCCAAAAACTTCAAACATTGTAAAGTTCAGAATTTCCTTCTTGTTTTCAAGAATCTCCTCAGAAGGTCTCCAGTACAAATACCAAGCTTTATGCTATTTATGCCTCTTAATAAATTATTTCTATGTTGTCTGATTTTTGTATTTTGTGTTGACCTCCAACAGGTGTACATGTACCAGTTGTTTCGCAGTCTGGCTTATATCCATTCCCAAGGTGTGTGTCACAGAGACATCAAGCCCCAAAACCTGCTCGTCGACCCAGAAACTGCCGTCCTAAAGCTGTGTGACTTTGGCAGGTGAGCTAAACCAAAAGAATTTCCACACAAATTAGAACTTAATTTAACAGTAGTAGCAGGATTACATTTATCTGCCTTTTAAGTATATATATTTTTTCTGAAATCTAATATGGGAAGAATAACAGCATTTCTAATGCTTAACACTTGGATTCTGTTCTATGAATCAAGTTCAACATGCATAGGATATCTTTTCCTTATCTTGCCTTATCTTTACGTCTGCAAACAGTCTGAACAGGGTAATGAAGGTGGTTGTCACCTCAATTCAACTCATCTAATCTAGCTATGAGCACATTCATGTGAAAGACCTGGAGTTTGCTGCATGTGATTAATTGGAAACGAGGACACGTCAAGGGCTATTAGAGCATTATATTTCACAAAGGAAAAGCAAAGAGTAATGTTGTAAAAATACAAAGAAGTTAACCATAAAACAAGCACAAAGTAACACACTGCTGTAAACGTGTGCTGAGAAAAGCCCTGAACAGAGTGTGAAGTATTAAACAGTGATGTATGATTGCATGTGTCATATGTTAGATCCAGAAATGACAGCTGGCAAAAACTCTACAAGTTTAGCATCAGGAACACGGCTCTGTTTTTATTTTTGGTAGTATTTATTTTTATTTTTTTATTATTATTATTTTTTTAATTCAAATGCTTATTTTTCTGTTTCACAAGCACACATGTCTCTCCCAATAGCCTTTCTCCTGCACTCAAGCTGCATTACTGATCTCCTCTTCAGTATCTGCAGATGATGATCAGGCATTTGATTGAAGATCAGACTTTAATTACAATGTTTAATTAGTTAAATTAGGATGTTGTTAAATGAAAGGACTCATACGGTGTGTAATAAAGTGTTAATCTTGCTCTGCCCAGTTGTGTTAATCTGTCTGATAGAAATAAAAACTATAATTCAAAACAGCAAATGGCCTGATTGCAAATTTTATAAAAGTCATCAAATACTCTTTTAAGATGATATTTCTTTATGAATGTTTGTATATCATAAAAATTGTTTTCAAATTTTGCTTGCTGACAGAAGGGGAAGGTAAAGGAAAGAAGTTAGTCCTCAGAGTCTATATTTCTCTTTGATGCTCGGGGAAATATAAAAACTTCAGACCCTCTTACTATCTGCAAACAGAGGCATCTTACAGGAGTAGTGTCACTATTTTCCAGACAACTAAGTGCTCAGTAGGGAGTCGTTTGGTATATATTGATCTCCTATCTTTTTTTTTTTTTTCCTGTCGTCTTTGTTACCATTTAACGTGATTCTTGTGCTTCCTTCAGCGCAAAGCAGCTTGTCCGGGGTGAACCAAATGTGTCGTATATCTGCTCACGGTACTACCGCGCCCCGGAGCTGATTTTTGGCGCCACAGACTACACAGCAAACATCGACATCTGGTCAGCTGGCTGCGTACTGGCAGAGCTGCTGCTCGGACAGCCCATATTCCCCGGCGACAGTGGAGTGGATCAGCTAGTGGAGATTATCAAAGTGAGTTGTTTTGTTTGTTTGTTGTTTTGTTTGTTTTGTTTTGGTTTGGTTTTTTCATTTAAGTCTTTCTGCACCATTCATTTATACTATTAAAAGGTAGTCTTGCAAACACTCTGTTTGAAGTAAATGTCTTATCCTCCTCTTCTGTTCTCAGGTATTAGGAACACCAACAAGGGAACAAATTCGAGAGATGAATCCAAACTACACAGAATTCAAGTTCCCTCAGATCAAAGCGCATCCTTGGACCAAGGTAGATAACACCTGAGGACGAATAACAGCAGCTCAGTCAGTTTTCTCCAGGTCTATGCTCTCTGGAAGCAGGTGCTCTGTGAATAAGACCGATCTTTTGTCTGAAGTGAGAAATAAAAGTTAACATTTTTCATTTACTTGATAAAACTGTGATATGTTGGTAGATTTCTTGTTAATTATATTGATGGCACTGACTTGGACGTCAAGTAACAGTCCCAAAAAGTGAATTATTGTTGTTTATAATGTTAAAAAGAAAATGGCAAAACCAGCAGTTACAGCTTTTATACTTTTTCAGACAAAATGAATCATTTCTGCAAAAGTAAGTTTTAGGAAATGATTTAAAAGTAGATGCAGAATTTGCTAACCTCGGTTCTTTTGCAAAACAGTTCCTCAACTGCAGGGTGTCTAAATTTCCTTTAGTCTGACCTGAGGAACCTGGGCAGTGACTCAGTTTTTGAAGGGGAGTTGATGTGTAATATAGTCGGCGAGTCCATGAAAGGCTTTACATTTAAAAGTTTAAAGTCAGTTCTGTATCTTAACTGGTAGCTCCTGTAGTGTAGCAGGGATAGGAGTCATTTGGTCTTTGGTGTCATTAAGTGTATTTTTTAATTTAAGTCTCGTTTAGTTTGGGTGCCCAACGTCCTCTGTAAGCCTCGTTTATGGTTACTGCAATGGTATGCATGACATCATCGCAGCCCTGTGAATATTTACATTGGTGTTTGTGGCACTCTGGACTTGCTACAGTTTTCTCCAAAACAGTAGGTGTTGCAACCTTTTCACCAGCGCTGGTGCAGAAGAAGTCAAAACAGGAAATGAAGCAGTCACAGAGGTTTTCTCCAGCATGTCTCATATTTTCCAGCTGTTGCAGCTTCTCTCTCTGTGCATTGCTATATGTTGCTGTAGAGCTGTAACACACTCATAGACATGGCACCAGGTTAGAAAAACTGAGATACCAAAGCACGGGGCACCTACAGCTAGGACATCATTTTTGTTGATGTACCGACTGCTGCTTCCAGTGCAACCATAAAGTGCTGCCACTCAGAAGCAATCATTAGGCTCATCTTTATTGGTAGGTTTATTGAATTTTAAAGCCCTATAATTTATCTTTTCCCTTAAAAAAGAACCTAAGGAGGAGGAGAGTGGAAAACCTCTGTTAGGTGCACATTTATTAGAGTAAAAAAGAGAAATCCTGTGGTTGTGAGGATGAGGCCACATGGACTTGAGGTGTTTTTAATGTTTGATTAAATGAGATATACAAAAAGTATATACTCAGCATGCAGCCAAGAGAAGAATCTCTTGTAAATTTACTACAAAGCAGCTGGCTCTACTTCAAAAGCTGCCTGCTGTTGCCTTTGTAGATGCAGAACTCCTGCATAGAAATGCCTGTCTGTCATTTTGGGTTAACTTTCAGATGTTAAACAATGGAAGAAACCCTGCATTGCATGACACTGGTTAAACATACTGGCATATGGAGCTTGCCAGTATGTTTAACCAATGGCTTGCCAGTATCAAAACGTGTTGCTAGATGTTGGAACTTTTGAAGAAAAGCTCTCGTATTTCCTCAGGTGTTTAAACCTCGCACCCCTCCAGAGGCCATTGCGCTTTGCTCTCGGCTGCTGGAGTACACGCCAGCCTCGCGCCTCTCCCCGCTAGAGGCCTGTGCACATGCCTTCTTCGACGAACTGCGCCAGCCAAACACGCGGCTGCCCAGTGGACGAGAACTGCCGATGCTCTTCAACTTTAGCACCACAGGTAGCAGAGTTTCCTTCCCTTTTTTCTTTGCTAATTGTTCAGCTAAGTTGTAGCTGCTCTGCGTGATGATTCTATGCCTGTAACACGACTTTAAAGTCAGTTTGATCTGCGACTGCTGAGGTGGTCCGGTTAATTCAGTATGCCTCTTTTGTTCTGTTGAATTACACTGCGCTCTCCTTATGACTCAGCGCTAAATAAAGACTCTCCTTTTATTCTCTGCAGAGCTGTCGATCCAGCCTCAGCTGAACTCAATCCTCATTCCTCCTCACGCTCGCTCTCACACAGCTGCTTCTGCACACGGTGGGAAACTCTTATTGTAATTTTACTGACACTGTCAATAGCAGGCTTTTCTGCCAGCTGAGAGGAAAAAAACTGAAATATATTTTTATATTTTACCTTTTTGATTTTATTTTTTTAAATCCAGACACTGAAGAACTAAAACTCTTAAAATTGTCTTTATATTTTTGAAAACCATCTTTATATTTCATGGAAACATTTTAATAAGCACACCTTATTTAAGTCCCATCCTTGATGTCCCCATCAACATCATATATTTGTATAAATTTGAACACCTCTGTTATTTTTAGTTCATACAAATCCTTAAAATGCCTTGTAGGGAGTTAAACTCATTCACCTGAAAAGTTTATGATGGCCATTTGGTAAAATTGAGACAGGCTGCACAAAATTCTCTAAGTTTAAATGCCTTAAATCAGTTCTTCAAAAGTCTTTCAAAAAATATTATGTTGTTTGTACCTCTCAGCAGTAAAAATCTTATGGTTTTGTTGTCACCCTGCCGGGTGGGTGGGCGGTTGGCATGGACACCAAAGTTTGTAAATCCGATTACTCGAGAAGGAAGTCGTCTAGGACTCTCAAATTGAAACTTAAGCTACTGTTTTGTGCAGATTTAAAATAGATGCAAAGTTGATTTTAAGGCCTTAAGAAGTTTCTGAAGATCTTAAGAGTCACCTTGTGTATTTAAAAAAAAAAACAAACATAAATCTGATATAAATAGTTTGAAATAGAAAGTTTGGGGGAGCGGGTGTTTTTATTTTGTTTTTTCTCTCCTGACACAAGATGGCAGCACTACGCATAAAAGATGGCAAATTTCAGACTGATTATTTTCTATTACTCTGTCTGATGTTTACTGCTCTGTAAAGCTGTAAAGCTTCAATTTAAAGCTCACTGTACCTTTTGTCTCTTCTTCCTCTCCCCTTCAGATGGTACCGGTTCAGATTCATCTCAACACAGTTCAGTACCAGGATCTCTCAACAGCATCTGAAGCAGCTTCTCAGCCATCTGCCTGCAAAGCATCACCCCGTTTTCTCAGACACACACACACACTCTGTGTCCACAGCTGTCCACCATGCTGCTTTGCTATCTTCTTCCATGGTCTGTTTCTGTACAGTAAATCCACTGAGAAAACGCTTCGTTGTTTAGCTGTCAGGGTCGAAACTACGGCAGGAGATTGTTACACACACACACCGAATCGTCCCGCTGCTGCTCGGGTGGTTTTAGAAGGTTCAATAGTCGGGGCTGGTCCTCTGTATTATAAGCTTTTGTTAACCATTTTTTTCCTTTTTGTTTTCTTTTTGTTTTTATTTATTTGGCTAGGTAAAATCATTATATACTTTTTCCCCCTCACTTTTAAGATTATTTTTTTATTCAGTGTTTTTAAATGAGTGCACGCTGCCTGAACGAGACTAGAACTGGGCCCCTCATCACAGTAGGACTTTAATTTAACTCAGGATGGGAGAACAGTTGCAGGGACATTGACATTATTTTAGTCCAGTCCTGTACTTAAGTTACAAATCAAACCTTCAGCTGTTGTTGTTTTAGCTGCAGATGGAAGAAAAAAACAGGCCAGTGCCAGATAAATGTCAGAGTTTGCCTCGTGTTGGAAACGAGCGTCCTTACAGGTGTGTCTGGTAAAGGAACTAAACGCTTCTCTGACTAAACTATATATACCCAACAAGGAAGGAGTCTTAATTTTTTTGTGGCTCGAGACCCTTTCTCAGTTTTTAACCATGTTTTTACTTTTAAAATTAGGTCCCACATTGTCAGCCACAGAGGCATATTTGTAGGAAAGAGCACTTAAGTGCAACTCGAAAAGAAGGCATCACTTTTCAGGAAATTGTTTTAGACCTATTAGGGTTGGGGAAAAGAAATGGCCTCCTCAGAAATGTTTCTAGATGGCTGGACAGAAGCGTGGCTGCTCGTTCTCCTTCTTCACAGGTAATTTGGCTGTGTTCGCCTGATCATGAAATGTCAGAAAAGGTTCAGACAGTGCTTTTAGTCTTAGATCAGTGTTGTGAAAGAAGATTGCAAAAGTTCCCCATAATGTGCAAGTGGAGTTGGAGACTTTATATTGGAAAAAAATGTCTTTTCTTTAAGCAAGCAGAAAAGGAAAACTTTAAACCTTCCCCAAAGACATGTTTAAATTTCAGGCTTCTCTGGAAACGGCTCTGTGTTCTGCTGTTTTAACTAAACCAAAAACGTAGTTATTTCTTTACTATACTTCCTTTTTAAGATTAAATTCTGTGATATGAAGTCAGTGATATGAACATATAAATTGGTATTACAGTCTGAAATTATTCAGACTTTTAATGGCTTAAAAACAAGAAGCGGAGAATTATCTGATTGGTCCCTCATCCAGTTTTTGTAGTTGTGTGGATATGAAAGCCTCGAAACTTCAGTTAAAACTTGATTTAGATGCAAATCATGTCCAGATATCAGAAAGCTGTGTTTTTGTTTTTGTTTTTTTGTTTTTAAATCCTCCTTGATTTGGAAATGTGGCGCTTGAGTATTTGTCTCACTGTTGATTAAAGGCAGCAGAGAAACAAATGAGAGCTCCGGCGAGTTTGTATTTATTTATTAGGTTGTCTTTGGATGAGAGTTGGAGTTACTCTAAAGTCGTGGTGATGGTGCGAGGATAAATGGAGCTGGGCTATCAGCTCATCAGTGCTGACGTAAGAGGAAGCATATCTGTAGGCAAGCAGGGAAATCCCTTTAAGCTGAGTGTGTGTGTGCGTGCGTGCGTTGTACTCCTGTGTTGTTGAGGACCAACTCTGATTTAACCCCGTGATGGTGAGGATGTTCTTCCTGTCCTCACTGTATTGTTTTTTTTTTTTCTTTAAATAGTTGGAGCCCAGAGAATGTGTGTGTGTCTGAGTGTGTGTGTGTGTGTCTGTGTATGTGTGCGTCTGAGAATACTCCCACCTACAGTCTGAACAGCCAGTGTTTTAGGAATAGAGCAGCCAACAATACTGATTTTTAGTACGCAGTACAGACCACTTGAAAGTTTGTAGTATAGTATATTTGATACTATTGTACCATTGCCTCCACCTGCTCTTTTCCTCCACCCCACTTTTTTTTTTTTTTTTTTTTTTTTTTTTTTTTTTAATTGCTCCACACGTTCACATTAATTTTACACGAGGAGAATCACTCTCCCCCGCCAGTCGCTTCATTTGTTTGTGGCGGGTTAAAGCCGGCTGCATCCCCCTTTCTCTGTTGTAAGAGCCCAACCAGCACGTTTGATCGACTCTGCGGGTCGACGGCGTTCACACGCAGAGCTGTCAGTCTTTTCTGAGGCAATGAAAAGCTGTGACCAAGCCTGAGGAGAGGACTCAAATGTGGCTGGTTTCAGAAGCCATTTTACTTCCTAACTCTCCTCCTCCTCTTATCGCACGTGTAAATATCACTGATTTTTATTTGTTCCTCTTTTTACTTTTATTACAGAGTTGTTTATATCTTATTTCCCCTCATTAAGCTGTCTTAGTTCCTGCATTTTTGTAAATAATTTTTTTCACTACCCAAAATGTAAATACTGCAAAAGTGAAAAGGAAAAAAAAAACAGCCACTCCTCATGTTTGTTGACGATCTTTCTCTCTCCTTCTCTTTCTTGTGTACCAGTGAAACTGTTTAGTAGCTCGTCCTGTCTCTCCTTTAGTCCTCTGTGGACTGACTGACTGCTGAATGAGCCTCTTATAAGGGTTCTGTTCCATAATGCTCTCTCTCAGCTCGCCGAGTGTGAATATAATCAGCTAATCTGACGCCTGTAAAGGACTGAGCCATTTAAAAGCAGCATCCTGGGTTTGAGTCTATCCCGAGAAGCCAGCCAGTGACGTCAATAAATGTGAAATGTCCAGAACATTAAACCATTAAAGTGAGACTTAAGGGGTTTATTTTTGATTTAAGTGTGATTATATCTAAAAGAGCTGTTTATGTACAGGATGTTCCACTTACTCCCACCTGCACTAATTCAATCCTCCAACAGGTCCTTTTCCTGCAGCTTGTCCCAGAAAGAGGAAAAACATGGACTGTAAATTTAATTGGAAAAACATAAAAAAGCAAAAGAAAATCTCTTTGCAGGTTGTGTAGGTCATATTTACAGTAGTCATTACCTTTTGACTGTAGATGGCGAACACCAGCAAGCCTAATCCTTATAGCACAGATAAAGTAATGCACTCATTTTCATTATTAGGCTAAGTAATTGCTCCTGTTACTGCTTCAAAGGGGGTAGAGTACAAAGTACAAGGAGCCCATAACAATTCAGTGAAGGTCAGTGCGCAGTGTAGTTATTTTATTCCTCACACTCAGACGCACCACTCTCACTCATTTCAGTCATAGTTTGGTTTGTTAAGCACAGACTGTATATAAAAGATGGACATAGCCCCTGATTCTGAAAAGCGAAGCCAAGGTTCTGGTTGCTTAGATGACCCATCAGCGTATTTATCACCTCTTCAGACGTCAGTCATTGGTATCCTTCGTTTCAGTCGCTTCAATCACTCGTCTTGAAGTGTAGTTTATTTTTTTGGACACGCCCACTTGTCTGTTGTTACTGCAAGTCTCTGAACATGGATGGAGAATAAATCAGGGCGTGCTTATTGGTTAACAAGTTGCGATCTTGCTTTTCTTTCATTTCACAGTCGGGTCTACCCCCTCACTATGATGTCTCGTTACAGAAAGCTAAGATGGCGACAGTGAAAATATCTGCTCAGGGGCTTTATAACATGACCTCACTAACCAATGGGTCACCTGACAGGAGTTATGTCCATCATTTATTTACAGTCTGTGGCATAAAGTTGAAAGTTAACTCTTAGCTTCTCCAGCTCCAGTTAAGAACTTTTATCGGAGTTCATAAAGCTCTTTAGTGTTTTTTGTTTATTTTTACGTGTGGTTGTACTTCCTGTATTTCTTGCCTTGTAAGTGGAGCAGGTTTAAAAGGCACCTGAGATTTATGTCCTACTGAGTTATATGATGGTGCTTTATTAGGTGCCTCTGTGTCTCCCCCATTATACGAAATGTGTCCTTCAGTGTTGGCGCTCTGAGGCTTAACCACAGCTCCAGTTGTCATCGTCATAAGGAGCTTGGAGGAGTGTTGGTGACTTTCCAGGATTAACAGCTTTTCACTTTTGACTTCCACTTGCCTCAATCTATGCGTTTATAAACTGCTTGGTTATGGTTTCGGAAAATTTTCATGCTTTTTACCCAGAGCATCGCAACACAGATGCCAGCAGGTTTGACAATGCAGTTTTAACTGACGCCTCGGGATCAGAGCGAGCTTCTCATTAATTCTCATTTTGGAACAGAACTCTTTTTGCTTGTTGTGACAGTTTGCAAAATATGATTACTGTGCAGTATCGAGAGGAAAAGTGTCGAGCGATGTCACAGGTGTTTAGTTGGGTTAAAGTCCAGCTAGTACTCAACATGTGGGCATTTTTGTGTTTATGCGCTGTGGCATTCAGAATCGCTGCTAACGATCACAACAGGGTGGACATGGGCGCCTGTGTTACGACAGACCTATCAGGTGTGTGTGGATGTACATTACTGACAGTTTCATGAAGTCTGAATCTCAGAAATTGTTCTTAAATTCTCTGAAAACTCAGATGTTAATATTACCTCCTTTAAAAAAAACAAATCACATCTGTTAATTTTTTATTTAATCTGTTTACTTTAGTGTCACTCTGGCCTGTAGACCACTGAGCCTGAGTGCTGGAGGGAGAGGGAGAGAGAAACAAACAAGTCTGTCTCTGTTCTGTGTGCGTACGATATGGACTCATTTACTGTAATAAAGTGATGAAACTGTGTCACAGCGTGGGTTGTCTTGTTTGTGACTTGGATTAAAAGTTAAAAAAAATGTATCTACAGTTCGAGCTCTTTGTGGGCCAAACCTGCAGAAACAAGCTTGTTCTCTCACTGAGATGTCTCACTTCTGCTTACTTTGGCAGACCATCACCTAATACATCACTTTAAATCACGTCCCTGATTAAAGGGTGAATAATTATATTGGACTCTGTCTGCGAGTAAATTGCAGTGTATTGGTATCTTTTTTCTTTTTTTTTTAATTTTTAGTTCCTTGCTTAAAGACCTCCGGGCCACAGACACACAGTTGGGGCCCCACCCAAGAGGGAAAATGAAAGGAACACTTTTTAGTCACAGTTCAGCATCAAGTCTGTTAAGCTTCACGAATATTGATCTTGTCAGTTAAGTAGAGAGGGTTTTAATCACTTTAAGCTTCTTTGCTGTCAATTAAATTAACTGGTCCACTAGAGGTTCAACAATCAGACAACCCCCAAAAGGAATGGTTTTACAGGTGGAATCCACTGACATTTTTTTCCCCCCCTCATCTTCTCTGGGGGGTTATTTTCACCAGTTTTGCATGGTCTACTGTCACTACTGGTAGCTGTACCCTACAGAGGTTGCGCAAGTAGTCCAATTTCTGGATTCACAGAAGTACGTGCCATTGCTAGGTTTGCTATGTCACCCAGCACAGCACATGGAGGAGAGTCCAGGAGACGGACAGTTACTCGACAGCGCGTTAGGTCCTTATCAATGTGACCAGTATCTGGTTTTACAAGTAGAGACAGAATGAACACAAAACCCCTTTTTCCCTTTGATAATTTTCATTTGTATCACATGATGTTGCATCCTTTTGTTCCTAACACATCTATCTAGAAGTATAGATATCCAGGAGTCTTCCTGTTGAGTTGTTTTCAAACTATTCCTTTCTATACAGCATCTCAAGGGAGGAAACTGCATTTGGTGATGTCCCTGAGTTCTAGACTTCAGGCAGTCATTGACTGCAAACTTTAATCCAAGTATTAAAAACAATCATTATAAAAATACTGAATTATGCCGGTTTGTTCAATCAAATCTGCATTGTTGGGTTTAAAATCCCCTGTAGTGATGTACGCAGGCAAAACTACAAGACTTCTGTGTTTAGGGCCATAATTTGTTGGACAGTGGCGTACCTATTGAAGTGGTCAAGAAGTGAAGACTTTGCAGACGCTACAGAATTTTCATGAATTTGCTTGGTCATCAGTGCAGGTGTGCACTTTTTGGAACACAACACCTGTTTTGGAGTCTGCAGAACAGTTATTGATTAATTTTTTATGAAGTCATTTTTTAACTGTGCCTAATTCAATCAGTAACCATTAGTAAAAAATTGTTTCCTTGTTTCTCTTGTATATAAGAGTTTGTTATTTCACAGGACTCCAGAATTCAGCCGAGAGATTAAACTTCACTGAAGCAGGTGCCTGAACTTTCTGTTGTTCTTTCCTTTGGGTTTGTTTGTATTTATTACTTTTCTTTGCAGCAGTCCATCACCCAAAACAAGCTATGAGGGTATTTTTCCTTCTTTGTGCCGGCGTTGCTTTGTGCATCACAACAGGTGAGACTCATCACAACAAAGAAAACCAATGAACAGAAAAAAAAATCATAGCGACATATATGATGCACGTCTTTGTCAACAACAAAGTAGTTTCTGAAAATGCTTAACTTCAGTCTAAATACTTTTTCACAGCAAATCCAGCGCCTGGCATGAAGCAAGGTAAAAGTCCTTGTGATGCATCTTTAACATTAAGTAGCAACATTAAGTAACATTAGTTACTGCCAGCACAGAGGCTACATAGAGGTAACTTTTTCTCCAGATAAGTATTTTCTATGTTTTGTGGCTTTGTTCGTGCAATAACAATTAACTGGAAGAAAATGGTACAAATGTGTAAGTAACTGTGTTCCCTGAGGTCCTTGCTACTTCTACTGTCCTGCTGCACATGCAAAGCTGACAATGTACATTAAAACCTACATTTGATCCATTCTTGATATGTTCTGTACTAGAGTTGCCACAGGAGCTGATCCCTGCTCAGCAAAACATGACTGATGGTAAGGGAGAATATTTCTTAACTTGTCTGTCCTTCAATCGCGGGTCCTCTACCGGAGGCCTGGGAACTTCAGGGTACTGTACAGTATCCATGCTGCTCCTATGACTTTCCTCTTCT